CTCTAGCTGTGACTGTGATCCTCTCCTACAGATACTTCACGTAGACCTACGGTCAGACAGAGAGGAAGATACAGGAGTTCGGACGCTTGCTCCAAATCTTTTGCCATTGTCACCAGAACTCCAGAACCAGTTTCTTGCCTGGGCCAAATACGCTAAAACTCCCTCAAGCAACACCTGACCTCGTTTCAGTGTGTGCTCGGCTATCAGCCTCCAGCATATTCCAGCCATGGATTTCTGATTCTGGGAGAGCGAGAGAGTCTGGGGCACTGCTGCACACCATCATCTTCAGCGAGCAGTGGGCCGACAGAAGAGACACGCCGATGCCTGGCCAACTGAAGCTCCATCCTACCAACCTGGGCAGAAGGTGTGGCTCAGACATTGCATACTGCAATATAGTTGTCACGGTGCTGGTGGAGTGTAGGCAGAAGAAGGAGACTGAAAAGGCAAATGCTCCAATACAAACACTTTACTTAAACGCAAAACAGCAAATAGGTACAGGCAGAAATACAGGCGGAAACACTCTCAGACACAAAGGTAACATAGACAACGATCGACAAGGACTGAATGGAACAGAGGGAACTAAATACACAGATGAATCAAACATAATGATGTGAAGACAGGTGATACTGATGAACAAGACGAGGAACAGGTGGCTGATGAAGGAGTGAGTTCGGGAGAGGAGACAAGAGGATCTGGGGAGTATAGTGCTGATGACAAGACAGACTGGTGCAGACGACGGACTGTGACATCAGTAGTTGTGTGGTATACTGTATAGTATGCCATTCTGAACACCAATTTTATTGTTCTTGAGTTCGGGTATCATACGGGTATTCCATGCATACAGAAAATGTGTATACTCACAGTATACATACTGGAGAACAGCAGAAATATAATGATATAATAATACATTATATATAATACAATATATAATAATATGATAGTATGCCATTTTGAACACAACCAATTTTACAGTTTTTGTCAGTCTCTTTGGTGCATTTCTCACATCACTATTTACATTTGCAAACAATTAATGCAGTTCTCAAAACAATTAGTACAAACTGCAAAAAACTAGCTGATAACCCGCAAAAGCGTTTTACTTGCTCAAAATGGATAGCTCATTCCTCAAAAGCAAGTTTTCATGTCCATGAAAGTGTCAGTGTTATCAAGATGAAAAGTCCTAACACCATTGTTTATGAAAAAGTTAGTCAAATGGCTTTGTCATGTTTTCAATATTTAAGTTTACTTTGTAAAAGTTTTCCAATGCAAAAAAGATTGGTGACTACCTGAAAATGCTCAAGACAGCACTATATACTATTTGCATAGCCATTTGAAAAATACAGTAAAGTTACACATTACTCATTTAGACACTGAATATGTATGTTTCACATTTTTACTGCATGTGCTCTTTTCAATTCTAATTTGGTCACAGAATCAACCCGGTCTCATCCCAAGACGTCATATAACTGACGTTTTGGGACGTCTTTTGACCATACGTCAATATTCGCCTTTTTAGGGCCCCCTTAAACGTCGGTAGATGAGGTTATGGGATCCTAACTCTACCCCAGACCTAAACTTAACCCTAAACCTAACCCGTCACCTAACTGACGTTAAAGGTAAAGCGTCAGTTGTATGACGGCCCGGGATCGCCATCTACCGACGTTTAAGGGGGCCCTAAAAAGGCGGATATTGACGTACGGTCAAAAAACGTCCAAAGACGTCAGTTATATGACTTTTTGGGATGAGACTGTGTTAACAGAATTGCACAAAAGAAAAAAATACACCCTTATTTACAACAAACATAAACTCCCTTTGGGTAGAGATGTGCACAACTGTAAACAATTTCGCAGTACATATTAGAACTGAACATACAACATACATATTACTGTAAATCATGCACATCCCTTCTCATCAGTGAAAGCTTAGGTTCACCTGAGAGAAATTGTTCAATTTAGGATAAAAAAAGATGTTAATAAATATATCTATATCTATCTATCTATCTATCTATCTATCTATCTATCTATCTATATATATATATATATATAGGTCCTTCTCAAAAAATTTGCATATACATAGTTCCCATATGACGTCACAACATACGGGCATTTGCCGACCCGGCGCCATTGCTTAGGGCAAAACATAAGAAGAAGCAATACGAGTTGAACGGAGTGAAATGAGTTTCGTGCTATAAAGTGAAAATGGTCATCTCCTGCTGGGTCAATGGATGATAAAATCGTGCCGGAGGTTCAGTTAAATCGGGATTTTACACTATACCCGTCATTAGACTCCATATGGATGTGAGAAGTCTAAGCTTTTGTCCGAACAACGACGGAGATTATGGCTGGCGAGCATAAACAGGAAAGAAACTCACTCAAAACACGCAAGAATTTGTTTGACAAAAGCACAATGTTGTATTTTATTGCGAGTGTAAATAAATATAAGTTAACACATTGCAGTTTGAATAATGTCCTGTATGAACAAAATGACAAGGTATTAAAAACATACAAAACAACATTGTTTCCACTGTTTGATCTCACATTCCAGCATTGCAAACTCAGATTATGTCCCTAAAGATCCCGCGTATAATGTAGTAGTTCCTCATTACATTAATTAAATTGCACGCGAGTTATTTATTTTAATATTCATGCACCGAACCATGACACCCGCAAGTACATGCATATTACAGAAATCACCGGTGACTGGGGAACATAGGAATTAAGTTGTGCAGGCTATTGCTTTTTAATAGACAGATTAGCATCATGCTACTTCGCTATGATGACTTAAGTTACTTTTCCATTGATTGCACTTGAGCAAACGTCACCAAACCAACCCCACGTCAATCTGATCGTACACCTCCAGTGATTTCCAGGCTTGGAATTGCTCACATGTGTAAAAACTCCTCACCAATACCAGATAATTGTACACATGAAAATACTGTATCTGAGGCAAAGTTGCATAATCGGTGCTCAGTGCTTCTTTTGTTGCATAAGGATACATTATGAATGAAATTTTCGCATTGTACCTCTCTATGTCTTGTTTTAATAGTCTCTTTATAATCTATTACACGTTGTCTTTTCATGATTTGCATAACAATGTAAACAGACATAAATATTTGTTTGTAAAACGACATTCTCTGATAAAACATTATAAACGCCTATGGTAAACACAGCGGTTTTGCCCTCAAAGATGGCGTCTCCGGGGAGGTCACGTGACAATTTTTTTTGCCTGTGGGAACTATGTATTGTGATAAAGTTAATTATTTTCCATAATGTAATGACAAAAATTAAACTTTCATATATTTTAGATTCATTGCACACCAACTGAAATCAGGTCTTTTATTGTTTTAATACTGATGATTTAGGCATACAGCTCATGAAAACCCAAATTCCTATCTCAAAAAATTTTCATATTTCATCCGACCAATCAAAGAAGTGTTTTTAATACAAAAAAAATAATAATAATGTTCAGTTATGCACTCGATACTTGTTTGGGAGTCCTTTTGCAGAAATAACTGCTTCACGGCGTGGGTCAGGGTCCTGGGTCCTACAGGGTCCTGTGGCACTGCTGAGGTGTTATGCAGGCCATAGCGGCCTTAAGCTTATCCAGAGTGTTGGGTCTTGCGTCTCTCAACTTTCTCTTCACAATATCCCACAGATTCTCTATGGGGTTCAGGTCAGGAGAGTTGGTAGACTTGTGCACAGTAATGCTATGGTCAGTAAACCATTTACCAGTGGTTTTGGCACTGTGAGCAGATGCCAGGTCGTGCTGAAAAATGAAATCTTCATCTCAATAAAGCTTTTCAGCAGATGGAAGTATGAAGAGCTCCAAAATCTCCTGATAGCTAGCTGCATTGACCCTGCCCTTGATAAAACACAGTGGACAAACACCAGCAGCTGACATGGCACCCCAGACCATCACTGACTGTGGGTACTTGACACTGGACTTCAGGCATTTTGGCATTTCCTTCTCCCCAGTCTTCCTCCAGACTCTGATTTCCGAATGACATGCAACCACTGAGCAACAGTCCAGTGTTGCTTCTCTGTAGCCCAGGTCAGGCGCTTCTGCCACTGTTTCTGGTTCAAAAGTGGCTTGACCTGGGGAATGCGGCACCTGTAGCCCATTTCCTGCACACGCCTTTGCACGGTGGCTCTGGATGTTTCTACTCCAGACACAGTTCACTGCTTCCGCAGGTCCCCAAGGTCTGGAATCGGTCCTTCTCCACAATCTTCCTCAGGGTCCGGTCACCTCTTCTCATTGTGCAGCGTTTTTTGCCACACTTTTTCCTTCCCACAGACTGAGGTGCCTTGATATAGCACTCTGGGAACAGCCTATTTGTTCAGAAATTTCTTTCTGTGTCTTACCCTCTTGCTTGAGGGTGTCAATGATGGCCTTCTGGACAGCAGTCAGGTCGGCAGTCTTACCCATGATTGCGGTTTTGAGTAATGAAAGATTTTTGAGTTTCAGGAATCTTTTGCAGATGTTTAGAGTTTATTAGTTGATTCAGATGATTAGGTTAATAGCTCGTTTAGAGAACCTTTTCACAATATGCTAATTTTTTGAGACAGGAATTTTGGGTTTTCATGAGCTGTATATTAAAATCATCAGTATTAAAACAATAAAACACCTGAAATACTTCAGTTGGTGTGCATGAATCTAAAATATATGAAAGTTTATTTTCTATCATTACATTATGGAAAATTATCTAATTATTAGGTAATAGAAAATATCATTAACCTAATATAAAATCAATGGGAGTCTATGCAATGTCCTCACTGATATAGTGTGTGTGTGTGTGTGTGTGTGTGTGTGTGTGTGTGTGTGTGTGTGTGGTGTGTGTGTGTGTGTGTGTGTGTGTGTGTGTGTGTGTGTGTGTGTGTGTGTGTGTGTGTGTGTGTGTGTGTGTGTGTGTGTGTGTGTGTGTGTGTGTGTGTGTGTGTGTGTGTGTGTGAGAGAGAGAGAGAGAGAGAGAGAGAGAGAGAGAGAGAGAGAGAGAGAGAGAGAGAGAGAGAGAGCACAGGGGAGGAGGGCACCAATCCTCCCAAACTCCTTTACAAGCGCCTCCAACACCTAATCATTAAAACACACACACGCACCACATCTCCACGGAAACTAAACTTACACACAACACCGCGTCCATCACAACCTCGAAGCATCGGGCTTGAACATCAACATACACCGCGCGTGAGTATCTTTGAGCAGATGTGATGGATATATCGGACCGCGAATGTCAATTGTTGCCCCTTTTGTTTAGGGGCTCAAGCAGGGGGCCGTGTTGTGAGTCTATCAGCGAAAAGACACGGGAGTTTATTCATGAATTGTCATGAAATTGCCTAGCTGTTTGGGTTCATAACTGTGACGACTACGTTTAGAGGTCCATAATTGTTGATTACTGGTGTTTATTGAATTCATTGGTTGTAAAATTAACTTTTAGATGTGAGAGGCCTGTGTGTTGTTTTATCAACAAAGCGGTTCGCGCACTAGCAGAGACACAAGCACATTAAAGTCAGACTTGTCAGTTTATTTTATCATGCAGTTGGATTCGCTATTCACTTCCATAGCCTTTTACCAATTCAAAGACGCTATTTAAATACAAACGTTTAAATAGAAATACATTAGACTTTTAAAAAGCCCTCTCGTGCTGACTGTTAGCGACGAGCTAGCTGGCGGAGTCATGGGCCCTGTGATGCTAACAAACAACAGATAACCTCGATCAAATTAAAACATTGTTGAGACAATGTTTTAGTCTCAGAAACTCACAGCAAAATCTTTAAAATTTAAAGAAACCGCACCAGTGTTTAATTTTACATCTAACACAATGGCAAAATTTACCGCCGTCCATTATTAGTGTGTTAGCCGTTAGCATCCTGCTATTCCTGTCCACTCAAAACATTCACATAGAAACGCGTGATTTCAGGTCTTTATTTAAACGCATTTACATTAATATATTTTTTAAATGCTGCTTTTAAAAATCTGAGTAAACAACGTTTAGTTTATGGCCACCTGTATTAAGACTTTATGGTGCGTCTTTGTTCTCCTGACAGTTTATTTTGTTTGTATTTGATTGCATAGCTTTGTTATTATGTGTGTGCTTAAGTTACACTGTAACGTACACTCAGTGTTGGAAGTGACCAAGATTCACTGGGGGACCCTAGTTGGAGACAGATTTTATATTTTTAAACTCATAGATGTAGGAAATCACACTATATTTAATTTATATGTAATTTATTGTATTTTAATAGTATTTGGTGGTTTTTACATGGATAAAAGTTGGAAGTCTTCTACATTTCATTGACTCAGTCCCCTTAAAATAAAATCTCCTTAATTAGTTTTGTTTCACAGTGTTTCTGTATTTCAAAATAATACATTTATCATTAATCTGGGCTAATCTATTGCCATGGAAGTAAAACTACTTTTAAAATGGCATTAATCCTTCCTGCCCCTTTTTCTGAAGGTTTTTCCGTGGAATGAGCATTCCATGCAGCATCTTAGGTATGAATGACGTGGCCTGGCAGGAGACGCGAGGTGGGATGCTGCACACAAATGGTGCGCCAGAGACCGGAGTGGTCCGAGTCCATGCGGGGGGTTCTCTGGCCACAGTAGGAGGTGCTGGGCAGGGACCTGGAGGAGCTCACCCTCTGCCAGGTATGGACCGGGTGGCCAATGCCAACCCCGGCACCCCTCAGCCTCCACTGAGCGGTCGTTCCCAAGATGATGCCACTGTGGGCTATTTCTTTCAAAGGCAGCCTGGGGAGCAGTTGGGTGGCTGCACTGCAGGCAAACACCGCTGGCCCACTGGTGATGGAAACCATGTTGACCAGGTACGAATGAATCATACATTTACAGAAAGACAATCTCTTGTTCGATACTTTCTAAGATAATGATGGCTAGAATCTACCCAAACGTGTGGGAATGTGAACATGGACTCAAAGACACTGGGCTTTCTAATTTAATGTAACACCAACATACTAAAAATATTAAACTGGTCTCAGATGGCTGTTTGAAGGATTTTGTTGTCACCTGTACACTTATAAATATAACATCAAAATAAGAAAATCTGTGCAGATGTGATTGGTCAATCAACCAATTTCTGCCGTCAAATATTTTTTGTAAAATAACCACTAAACGACTGATTTTCTACGTAAATTTGTTAGTTTTGTTTTTCACATGACTTTTTTCTTTCTTTTAGTAAGTAAACCATTTAATACATAACCTCACTTTCGTCAGGGTTTGTTTTGTGATTGGTAACGCTTGACTATATTTCAAATCTTCTAGTAATGCTCCTTTTGATTTAAGGCTATGTTCAGACTGCCAGCAGAAATCAGGTTTTCTTTTGCATATCCAGGAAAAAAATATATCCCTTTTTTTTTTTTTTTTTTTTCAAATAAGACTCAAACCACATTTGGAGGTGGTTTAAAATGTGATTCCAATTAGATTTTTACAAATGCGTCTTAGTCTGGCTGCTCAAAGCTGAATTCAAATAATATTTTGCGTCCCTCATAACACGACACAACGATAACATCAAAACGTAATGCCAGAAGTATTCATACAGAATTCAAACGGTATGTTAGCCACGACTATTGCACAGAATATTAGAATGCCTGTCTCTGCCATTGCTGAGTTTTTCTTGTGCAACTGAGGACGAGATGATGTATCTGAGCAATTCCATGCAAATATAAACATTACCATACTTTTTTTTTTTTTTTAATGTTTTTACAGCAAACTTATTTAAGTTATGCATTTAAGTCTGTATTTTACTGCTGTAATAGATATTTTAAGAAATACACTATGTTTATCCACCACAAATGAGGTGTGGACTGACATTAATAATTACATTTTCATCCAACTATATTTAACATTTTCAAAAGAGAGATCAAAGGGGGCCATCCATTTTTTTTTTTTTTTTTTTTACTTTGTCTACAGTAAGTGTTTTGTTGAAAGATGTAGACCTATCTAAAAAAATGATGTTGTTTTAACAGCAATGTTTTTGGGATTTATAAGGACAATATCTATGAAGTCGGAATGTTTCAGTGGTGTATCATGTACGTAACATCTTAAATTAAGTTTAAATTATATGAAATAATTTTCATCATATAATTGAATCATCGTCATATGATAATTAATATTAATACAATTAACTAGTATCCTTCTGTACAAAGCCAAATTATGTCCATTCTTATCATTGATTAACAACTCATCTCCCTTCTTTGCTCTGAACAACCATAATAATGTTACTGATGTGATCGTTACATACATTTTGTATTAAATATATTTGACTGGCATGTATACCTATTGCTGATGACTTATACTGTGGCCTACTGTGATCTGTTTCAGTCTTACCGTTCATTTTAGAAATTAATTTATTATAATAACAGCATTTTAGTATCAACAAGAACATTGTGGAGATTTATTAGCCTAAAGATGTTCTTGCAGTATTTGAATAGACTAAATAAGAACGAGAGATAAATTGCAAGAGCTTACCTGCATATTTTTGGATTGTGTTTGATGAACATTTAATATAGCTGCAGATGCATCACAGCATAGTTTATATTAACGAGTGATAAAATATTTAGATTGTCATTTGCTTCACAACAGGTACAGGTGGACTGCAGGACAAATAGCCAAAACAATTTTTGATGTCAAATAATACTAATTTTAGGGACTCACCAATATATTTTTTTTTCTTTTTTTCGCTGAGACAGATTTTAACAAACTATTATTGGCTGCTTCCAGAACCAATATTTGTCTCTTAATCTCTTATTTGAACTTTTGTGATTAAAATAGATTAGCGTTTAGATTTTTTTTAAATGAACAAAGTTTACAAACACATGCATTAATATATAGGCTATTAGCTAGTTTATTGCTGTATCATCAAATAATTTCTATTGAACATTTAGCATTTAGCAGGTCAGCATGAATTGAATACAACAACAAAAAAACATATGAAATAAAGTGCTTTTCAGGTAAGGTCTAACACTAATATTAAATAATCAAATGTAAAATTTTCTTCATTGTATAAATTAAATATAGATTAATGCTTATTAAAGTAACAAAAATTTAGTCAAGAGTATGAATTATTGTTATTTTGGTTTTGTTGTTGGGACTTTTGTTGTTTGATTAACATTAACATTAAAACAGACAGCTATCAGGCTGCTGTCACTTTAAAGGGGACATCAGCTATAATCGGGTCCTGACTGGCATCTACCAACCCAGAAAACGTGAAAGGTGACAACCCAGTAACTTTATTTTGGTAAGCCTTTCTCTGCAAGCATGTCAGAAAATGAGCCAATCAGATTTTGCTCCCTTTTGATGTAGGAAGGGGATCTTTTTATAATATAACCACCCCTTTATCTGCACGTTTCCACCCACGGTGCCAACATTTGGTTTTCACAAGCAACAACAGTGTTACCAGTTCTAAAGCAAAGGCAAAACTTCAAGCAAAGCATGCAAACTGTTTTGTCGTTTAACATAAATGTATCCACTAACAATTCATAAACGGCCAGGTGCGTCTAAAAGTTGCAAACTCTTCCCGAGTCTTTCTGTAAGACTGCACTCAGCTACTGGGTATTTTGAGCTGAAATTTCAGACACATTCTGGGGACACCATAGATTTATATTACATCTTGTGAAAGGGTGCATATTATGTCACCTTTAAAGGGATAGTTCACCCAAAAATGAAAATTAGCTCATGATTTACTGAAGCCATCCTTGGTGCAAATTTTCTGGCTCTTCCAAGCTTTATAATGGGAGTCAATGGTTATGCTTTTTGGAAGTCCATCAAAGCGCATCCATCCATAATAAACATGCTCGACCTGCCTCTGGCGGGTTGATAAAAGCCATCTGAAGTGAAGCAATGCGTTTGTCTAACTAAAACTTTATCAACTAAAATAACTTGCTTCCGTCAGATGGCCGTGCGCAAGTCGATTGCGCCAAAAGAGTAACACTTGATGAAGTATGCCCGAACCCCGCCCACAACATGTTTTGGTCGGGAAGTTCGGTCTGGACTCGATCCATTGAGGAGTAATTATGATCATTAGAAAAATGGTCTGGCCAATCAAATTTCCAGGGCGGCTCCGATGGTCGCTAAGAAGATGGGATGCAATGAAAATAGTAGTTGTCATTGTGGTTTCTCCTTTGTTCGCACTCATGGAAGACCAAGTAAAAGAAGCAACCGAAATGGGCATCACGACGATGCAACTCATGTCAAAGTCATCGCTGCATCAAACAATGGTGACGCTTTGTTATCCTACTCGCACGCGGCACACCATACCCATACTGGTAGTCACTGTACATCTTATAAGCGGTGTATTATAATAAAATAATAAATAATAAAAAAAAAGAAATAATCACTCACTGCTCTTGACTGAATAACTTTTGTAACTTTAAAAAGGATTGATTAATAAGTATGTTTAATTTACACAGTGAATAGTATTATTTTACATTTGCTTGCTTTATTAATTTTCTGTACTTGAAAACTACTGTCAGACCATCCTGAAAAACCTGAATAGCACTGTTTATTTCATTTTTATCTTTGTTGTATTAATTTGCGCTTTTGCTTGTAATTTGATTATTGGTTCTTATTTTATTACTGACCTTAATAATGTTTTAAATTTGTATTAGGCTAGTAGTTTTAGCTATTGGAATATTGAATGGAATAGAGAACTTAAACAAAATTAAATATTTGTGTCATTACTGCCTGTTTTTGCAAAAACAGTTTCATGGCCAGTACATTTTCTTAAAGTAGTCTGTAGTTAAGCATTTTATCCCTTAAAACTCAACTCATGTTTGACCACCTAAACTACATATACAAAAATCATGATGTCTTCAAATAGCTTGAATGTGTAGCTACACCCTTGCCTCATTTAGTATACGTGGTTCTGTGAATATGCAAATCATTAGCCCTGCTTCCACTCACTCGAAGCAGCTCAGAGAACCACTCATTGATGGTTACAAGGTAGTTTGTGATGTCATAAATGCCAGTGATTTCAAACTGATTTTGAGACTGTCTGGTTCACAGCAGTTTTAGGCCCTGCTAGTACACAAGCGTTTTATTTGAACTGCTTCAATTCATTTAAAGGTAACCTATTATGCCCCTTATTACAAGATGTAAAATAAGTCTCTGATGTCCCCAGAGTGGATATGTGAAGCTTTAGCTCAAAATAACCCACAGATAATGGTTTTACATGATATTAAAAGTGCCACTTTTTGGGGTTGAGCAAAAGTCTCACCGTTTTTGTGCATCTCTTTAATTACAAATTAGCTGCTGTGTTTCCGGCCCCCTCCGGTGTCGGGACAAGCTCATCTCACGGAATGATATCAGAACAAAAACTTTCAGTAGCGGTGTTCAGTTCGACCCGAAGTCAGAAAATAATGCTTTGTACTGACCCTCTTTCACAAAGCAGTCTGATGTAAAATGATTTGTGCAGACAAACACATTTAGGTAGATTGGGGGGCATTCCGTTGAAAAACAGCGGCTCAGATGTCGGGAGTAAATGATGACTGCTGTGTTCATTCTTGCATACAACAACAAAAACACCTCAATCGCTTGGGAGTCATTCTTGTCTTCAGCTGCTCTGGAGTCGAAACAATGGTGGAGTGTGTACAGCTCACTCAGGTCTTGTCTAAAACGGCGACAGTCTTTTGAGGGGCCTGTGCAAAGTGCTGTCACTTTTCACTGAATCTTCGGACGGCTTGTTCTTGAGACAGTGCTTATGATTTATGGGGATTTTATAAAAAGCACTTGGTGGATTTTTGGTTGTTGCTTACACACTGCCAACACGCATTTAGACTTCACAATTCTCACACAGAAGAATTGTAGAAGT